TAGTATTTTACCATGTTCTGTTGTATCACTCTCCAAAGTCCACATACCTAAGTTGTGGAATCTTAGTGCTGTAGCTTTGGCGTGAGCTTTCACCTCTAGATGCAGAGGAGGCAATCCAATTAGTGCCTCTAATGCGACCGTTGGTGTAGTTCTTAATGCTCCAGTGATGGCAATAGCAGCCATTCTCTGTATGCGACTAAGTTCTTTCCTAGCTGTAATGAGTGCTGTTCTGGTCCACCAGACCAGGGCACCGTACAATATCATAGGTTTAATCACTGACGTGTACAACCAATACATAACTCTTGGTTTAAGACCCCATGTCTTTCCCAAGGCTCTGCTGCAAGTCCACAATGTGGTCATTGCTTTTTTGATTCTTGACTCAACATGTGATTTCCATTTTAGCTTACTATCCAAGATAATACCTAAGTATTTTACTTCTGATTTTAAGCTAATTTCTTGTCCATTCAGAGTAAGAGTGTCCAGGCTGTCTAGTCCTATTCTCTTTCTAGTGAACATAACAACCTCTGCTTTATTTGGATTAACAGATAGACCGTACTTACTACACCATATCTGTATAGTGTTAAGTCTCTGTTGTGCTAAGTCAATAATAGTGTCTGGGAATTTACCCACCACTGTTATAACCAAGTCATCCGCATAGGCTTGTGTATAACAATATTTGTTTAACTCTCTAATAAGCGAGTCCAATACTAGACACCATAGCAAGGGGGATAGAACCCCGCCTTGTGGGCATCCCTGTTTGACACTCTTGATTACTTTGGTCTCATTGAGCTGTCCCAAAATGGAGCGTTCCTTAAGCATGGATTCTATCCACTTAATAATAAGTGGTTCTATTCCACGCTGTTGTGCAGATTCACACATAGCATCGAAGGGAGTATTGTCAAAAGCCCCTTCGATGTCCAGGAATATACCTACTGCATACATTTTATTCTCTACAGCTTTCCCTATCTTAGTAGTTAAGCAGTGTAGAGCTGTATCAGTAGATTTCCCCGTTTGATACGCATGTTGGTTTTCATGTAAAGGGTTCTCCTTAAGAGGCCCCTCCTTGATGTACCTATCAATAAGTTTCTCCATAGTCTTAAGAAGAAAAGAAGTAAGACTTATTGGTCTGTAGGATTTTGCTTCATAATAGTTAGTGCGGTTAGGTTTGGGTATAAACACTACCCTAACCTTACGCCAGCTTTCTGGTTGATAACCATAGGCAAGGCATGCCCTAAATATTTTGCAGAGATGGGGGACGATTATCTCTAACCCTTCTTGCAGAAGTGCAGGGAAAATTTCGTCACAGCCTGCAGCTTTAAAACTGCCAAAGGCTTTTATTGCCCATCTTATTCCACTTGGGGTTATCACTTTCCTGGTTAGTCTCCAATCAGCACAGGTCACACGTTTGTCCTGTGCATCATGTTCCTGTTCTCTGTTGTTAATTATAGAGTCAGGAAAATGTGTGTTCATCAAATGTGATAATGTTTCATTATCATTATTGGTGAACATTCCGTCTGGCAGTAGTATTGCCTCGACAGTTTTGTTTGGTCCATTCCTTAGTGATCGCAGAAGTCTAGTTGCTATAGGGAGTTGTTGTATATCCCCACAGAACTTCTTCCAGCTTTCTCTTTTGGACTTTTTCAATGCAGATTTGTAGTTCCTTTGGGCGTCCTTATAGGATTCCCAGTGTTGTTCCAAACCTGATTTCATTGCTTTATTTAAGAGCTTACGTGAACTCTTTCTTAATTTAGACAGGTTAGCATTCCACCAAGCTACACCCTGCCCTGTACCTTTCCTTTCTATTAAAGGACAGTTTTCTTTGTAAGCTGAGACAATGGAGTCCTGTAGCATATTTACAGCCCTTTCAGTACTCTGTCTCGACCCCAATCTAAACTGTAGGTTAATCAGGTCACGAGAGAGATCTGCCCTGTATTTGTCCCAGTTTGTTCTTTTCGGGTTCCTATAGTACTCCGTCTCAACTTTGTTAATTTCCAAAGTGAATCGTAAGTGCCTATGATCAGAAAGAGAAGGTTCGGAGGACACTTTCCACCCTTTTATCTTTTGAAGTAACCCTTTTGAACAAACTGTTAGATCAATGACTTCCTGCCTGTTCCTGATAACAAAAGTAGGTTCACTACCTCTGTTCAGTATACTTAGGTCTGTAGTCAGCAATAGATCCATTATAACCTCTCCTCTTTGGTTGATGTTACTGCTCCCCCAAATAGTGTGGTGTGCATTAGCATCCATACCTAGGATTAGTTCTAATTTTTCATTTTTGCAATAATTAAAGAGCATAGTTAGGTCCCTACCTGGGTCTGTAACCTCATATGGTAAGTATCCTGAAGCTACTATGATGTTTTTACCATCATTTAGTGTTACTCTAATAATAGTCAAGTCTGCACTTGATAGATTAAGTATCAGGCTGGCTTTAACTTTATTATTAACCAAAATGCAAGTTCTTGGTTTATCTGCTTGTTTATGAAACAGTTTAAAATCCCTTAGATTTAGCCCCTTAATCTGGTCCCCATTTATCCATGGTTCCTGAATAAGTGCTATTTGTAAGGGTGTTGTATGCCTCTCAGTTAGGGTCCTTAGTAATACACTACTGGCCCCTTTACTGTGATGCAGGTTTATTTGCGTGAATTGAATTCTATTGTCAGCCATTCAGATAAACTGATGTTGACACCTAAGAAAGCACGCTGTGCTGGGTGTGATACAGGTGTCTGAAACAGTCCCTGTGTCACACAGCCCCCCCTGTGGGTGGTGTCCCACCGCCGTCCCCAGGTGGCGACCGTGCCTTGGTTCCGCTCTCCACACTTCCTTTTGGATCTGTGGAGTGGTTCCCCTCAGCTGTGGCCGTTATTGAGGGTGGCGGTTTCCTGGGTCCCTTTCCCTTACGTAACACACTTCCTCCCTTCCCTTTCGAGACAGGAGTAAAGTGTATCCGTTTGCCCCTTACCTCCTTACCCTGTGCCTTACCTCCTTTCCCGAGTGGCACTGGTGATTCCTCAGCCTTCCTCTTCCCAGATTTTTGAGATGTGAATTTTTTCACATCCTTCCGGGCTGGTGGCTGCTTGGCAACATAATCTGTGAAGCAAACTCTGCCCATTCCAAAATATGGACTGCGCTTCAGTTCCTCCAGTTTGACCATGCTGTTTTCGTCCACACTTAGAAACAGAGTTTGTCCTTTCGGGCCAACCTCTGTCTCATGGTGGACTTTCCAGATCGCCGTGTTCAGCCCTGGGTTTTGTTTTGCCAAAATTTCCAAGATCTTCTTGGACTCTTTTAGAGCAGCCCTGGTATGTGAGTGACCATCCGTTTATACTTGATCGGGTTGTAGGCTTCCAAATGGAGTTCTGCAACGTCCCAAGGTTTTATCAAGTTGACATGGTCAGTGAGCCACTTAAGAGAGCTCTCTTGGGCTGCACTGATCACAAGTGCTCCATCAGTGAGTCTGGTGTCTTCAAACCTTGGTACGTCGGTTCCATCAGTACCCGACAGTATCAAGTCTCCAACACAAGACTCAATGAGTAGCCCCTGCTCTGTGGTCAACTTGTTAGTGGGGTAGCCTGCGAGGACCAGAGCCACTTTTTTATCATCGGTTACCACGTCCCTGTAGGTCGGTACCCAATGAGTTTTCTTACATGGAGGTTCTTGCCCCTTGTCCTCAGGTTTTTGAGCTTCGGTTCCCTTTGACTTTTTCAAGTCATCGGTTCCCTTGTCTCCCTCCTTTGGTAGGTTCTTCTGCCCCTCCATGTTTGCTCGGCTCCTCTTCAGCTTGCGCCTCTGACTGCCGCTCAGTTTCTCAGGTCTAAGTTTTAGACCCTCGATTTTGTCAGCTACTGCTCCCAGTTGATCTTGCGATTCCTGGTCTACATTTGCTGACGTTGCTGTCTCTTTGCTAGTAGACGGTTCACCAAGTGTCCCGTTGTTGGCATTGAGACCTTCAAGTTCGGCGATTCTTCTGCGAAGAGTCGCCAGTTCACGATCTTGTTCCGACAGGTTGTCCTTAGGATCCCTGATCGTCACAAGTTCGTTGTTTTGTGGTTTTTCTATGTTTTTGTCCATATAGTTCCCACGAGAAGTCGAGAAATAAAGGTCCGTCACAGCAGAGCTCGATACTGTGATAAGGCTGTATACTCTATGGTGCGCCAGGTGCCATAGAGGATCCCAATGGTCACTTTACCTTTCGGCTAACTACCCTGTGACAAGTTAGCAACCCTTTCACTTGGTATGGCTGGGTTAGGGGGGCCTATTCGCTGTTAGCAAGCAGGTATGCCCAGGCCTACCGGTCCCAACTAACCAAAGTCATGACCGGCTAAGAGCAGTGGTACGTGTTGCCACCCCCACTGAAATAACTAGGGTCCGCGGGGTTGTTAGGCCCGTAATCCTTGCGGATTCCCCTGCGGGAGATTGCGCCATTTAGTATTACCTTTGGTTTTATACTGATACAAATGATGTGGATTTTGATTACAAAATAAAAGATAAATAATAAATAATAAAAAATAGAAAAATAAAAAGTATAATATAAATTATGATAAAATCACAATTAGAATATATTGTTTGAGAGTATTAGGACATTTTATTTTTATTAAAATTATAAGTTTTTTTTATGATTAATACAACTCTAAAGCACAGTTTATTTTAACATGATAAAATATAATTATAAAATTGTATTTATAATTCGTCATTTATTGTTAAGTCAAGAAAGTGTTCTGCCAATACAAATTTAGCGATTGTTTTCAACTTGTGTATGAATAGTTTACTAAAAATAATACATTTTTATGGGTAACCTTTAATATTAACTATATATTTAAATTTAAAAATATATAAAAAAAAAATGAATTATGTGGGTGATCGTATATATATAAACCATTATAACCAAGAAATTTCATTAGTTATTCAGAATTTAACACTTAGAATAAAAATGAAGGTGAGTAATACACTTTACCTGAAGTACTTGATTAAAATTTCAAAGATTATTTATTTTATTGTAGAATTGGCAAATTATATCTGTTCAGTTTATAATATCGTGTTTGATATTTAACGAAGGTAAATTGTATTTTACAATATTTACTCATATTAAATTTACTATATATCTACTATAGTTTATATATATTTATTTAAAGCGATGCATATAGGATTTATTTAACAATAGCTATATATTTTTCGAGTTGTTATTTTTACTAAAAATTGCCACAACTTTTAGAAAAATGAATAAATGAAAACGATTTTTTTTTTTTACATTAGGTCCACAGTAATTAGGTTTACAGTAGGTCATTTTTACATAAGAGGGATTCAAAATGGTAACTTTTGCTAAAAACTTTTGTAAATGTTTCGGGAATTTTATATATAGGCTTGTTGTTATAAACAAATTTTTTTTTTTAATCATTATGGATATTTGATGAGCTGTTTCACAAGAAAAACTTAATTTCTATCATCATCCCTTATACTTAGAACTTGTATCANAACTCTAAAGCACAGTTTATTTTAACATGATAAAATATAATTATAAAATTGTATTTATAATTCGTAATTTATTGTAAAGTCAAGAAAGTGTTCTGCCAATGCAAATTTAGCAATCGTTTTAAACTTGTGTATGAATAGTTTACTAAAAATACTACATTTTTATGGGTAACCTTTAATATTTACTATATATTTAAATTTCAAAAATATAAAAAAAAAAGAAAATGTGGGTGATCGTATATATATATAAACCATTATAACAAGAAATTGTCTTTAGTTATTCAGAATTTAACACTTAGAATAAAAATGAAGGTGAGTAATACACTTTACCTAAAGTACTTGATAAAAATTTCAAAGATTATTTATTTTATTGTAGAATTGGCAAATTATATCTGTTCTGTTTATAATATCGTGTTTGATATTTAACGAAGGTAAATTGTATTTTACAATATTTACTCATATTAAATTTACTATCTAACTACTATAGATTTGTATATTTATTTAAAGCGATGCATATATGATTTATTTAACAATAGCTATGAAGTTATCCTCCTGGTTATACAGAGTGACCGATTAAAGTTATGATACCGATGATATGATATACGACAATTATTTAAAATATTGTTCTAAAAATATTTTTTGAGTTATTATTTTTACTAAAAACTGCCATAACTTTAAGAAAAATGAATAAATGAAAACGATTTTTTTTTTTTACATTAGGTCCACAATAATTAGGTTTACAGTAGGTCATTTTTACATACGAGGGATTCAAAACGGCAACTTTTGCTAAAAACTTTTGAAAATGTTTCAGGAATTTTATATATAGGCTTGTTGTTATAAACAAATTTTTTTTTTTAATCATTATGGAACTTTGACGAGCTGTTTCACAAGAAAAATTTAATTTCTATCATCATCCCTTATACTTAGAACTTGTATCAACTTCAGAATTTCAAATAGCAACCCCATATTATTTTTATATATTTTTTTTTTATCATAAAAAAAAAAATAATAAAAAATTATGAATTTTAAATAAGATACGCTACTTTAAAATTTACGATATTTGATGAAAAAATTTAGTAGTTTTTCTAGCACGGTTACATTATTGTTTTATGTAGCGATAGAAGCTACCGGTTTACTGTGTCAACGCACGTAGTCAGAATAGCGCTAATTTATTTACGACCTATAACGTTCGAGTCTGTTATAATATTTTCTTAATAAACCTTAAACTTTAGAGAGCCATGAAGCACTTATTATTAAATAAAATAAAATATTTTTTTTTATTAAACTAAATCTTATGGTGTAAAAAAAAATAGGATTGCTATTTGAAAATGTTACTAATGTATTTGAAGTTTTAAGCATAAGGGGTGGTGGTATAAATTGAAATTTTCTTGTGAAACACTCCATAAAAGATCCATAATGATTAAAAAAAAAATTTGTTTATAAAACTTGTATTTTTTAAGATATCACCCTGTATACTTTTATAAATACTATATACTATAACTTGTATGTACAATTTAAACTTAAATAATTAAATTTATTTGTATAAAAATTTCACCTAGGGACTTGTTTTTGTGTTCAAAACGGATATCAAAGTTATATAAAAAATACAATTTATGTGTAAAAAATGGAAAATTTTAAAAAATTTAATAAATTATTCTATAAAAAACGTACTTGATAGTGAATTTTGGAAATTAGTGTAAACTGCCTTGGAATTTCTGAAATGTAGGTTCAGATATCAATCTCCCTAAAAATATTTATTTTGGTTTTAATACTGTATAACCCCTTAAAAATATTTGAATAAAGAAATTTTTTTAATTTGTACGTTTTTAAGTCATAAAAAAAGTTTGGGAGCCATAACCCCCACAACAAATTAATCAAATAAAATTGTTCACATTTTTTTCAATTCAATTTAACACCGATAAACCTTTTTAAAAAAATGATTTTCTTATTAATGTGCTATAAATAATAATTACATAAGTTCCTTACTGAAATCCATAATAAACCATTTTTTATACTCATAAAATTTTCCATTTAATGATATGTCAATATCAAAATGGGAAGTTTAGCTATTTTGTAATAATCAACATTAAAGGACAATACACAAATATTACACACAACATTTTATATTGAAACTTTGCATAGATTTGGTTAACATATTAAAAAATAAAACCGATAATAATTTGAACATAATATTTTTTCTTTTTAATTAATATTTTATAAGAAAATATTTGTTTTTTACTATTTGTCAAATATTAGGGATGATAGAAAAAGTCTAATTGTAAATTTAAAATCAGCGCATTATATATTTTTGAGTAGAATTAAGTTGGTTTCAAAATTCACAAAAAATAAAACGAATTTTTTATTTTTGAGTACTAAAGATATATTTTACATCATACCTGCTCACAGAGTGTTCTAAATAGCAATTTTTATGAGGGATTAGCTTATTTACTTATGGTATTGCAAGGATAATTTTTTTCTATTATATATATATTTAATCTAATTAAAAGTAAGTTTATGTGCTTTGTTCTCTCAGCCTTCATAATTATATCGTAATCACATTAAAAAAGCAAAGAAAATGTCAAGGTAGTATGTATAAAGGGTTACTTTTTTATCATAACTCACTCAATTACTTGCAGAATAAATACAAGGTGATTTTTTTATCATAACCCACTAAATTACTTGCAGAATAATAATGATTTAAACATCTTTTTTTATTATTATCTTTAGTTACACATTATTCTTGAATTTTTAACTATGTAATACTTTTTAAGTTCATCCCTTATGCCTTGGAGGGGGGTCAACTTTGTTTTTTTAAATGGTAACACATATTTTTAATTTAATAAAATGTTTGAGTTTTTAATTTAATAGTAAATGGCATTTGAATTTTTAATATAACTTTATTAGCTTATTAGATATAAACATTTAAAGTTTCAAAATTTCGAGTTAATATACATGTATAATACACATGGGATTGTAAATACAGGTAGCTAATTGGATTTTTATGACATTGCTGTCTCAGTCACGGATTGTTTATTATCAATTATGATTATCATTAGATATACTTTCTGTATTGTCGGTTAGTGTATTTATAAACTCATAACAATGTGCCTTACTACAATTGATAATAACAATGCTGTGTACCTGCGAATATCGATGTCATAAAAAAACAATTAGCTACCTATATTTGTAATCCCTTGTGTATTATACATGTATATTAACTCAAAAATTTGAAACTCCAAATATTTATATCTAATAAATTAATAAAGTTACATTAAAAATTCAAATGTCATTTACTATTAAATTAAAAACTCAAACATTTTATTAAATTAAAAATATGTGTTTCCATTTAAAAAATCAAAGTTGGCAACCTTACAAAGCATATGGAATGAACTTAAAAAGTATTACATAATCAATAATTCAAAAATAATTTGTAACTAAAGATAATCAAAAAAAAAAAAACAGCACAGGGGGGTCGCGGCACAGTGGAGACGTGGCATAGATGGATCAAGCATTATACTTGATCCATCTATATCAGATATCATCAAGTATAATAATATCTGACAGTGATTAAAATCACTATAAAAAAAAAAAACGCTTCGATGTAAATCATTAGATAGTGTTTAATTTTAAAAAATTGGTGGATTATCCCAAAAGCTACATGATTTGCTAGTTCTTTATTAATATCCTGATTAAGATAATGTATGTCGAATGAAAAAGAGTTTATTAAAAAATATTATTTCTCATAAAAAAATTGTGTTGATCCATACACTTTTCAATAAGTTATAGCATTATAAAGTTAAAAATTTTAAAAATAAAATCAAAATTTTCAAACAAAAATAGCATTTGATAGATATTTTTACCGTGAAGACAAAATAAAGTCCGACATTTTTTTTTTTAATATTAAAGTATATTACATAAGCTTTAATTTAAGATATATATAAAAGTGTCAGACTTTCCGGAACATTTTTAAAAATCAAGTTGAAAAAATTAATTTTTTGTGAAAAAGTTGTCATTTTATATCCCCCCTTGTGGGCAAGTAAAGGGTCACATATAAAAAAAAAATATACCAAATGAAAGGTAATGATATCATGCATTTATATAAAAAAATTATATTGATATGGTTATTTTTAAAAAAGTTATAGTAATTTTAAGTAAAAAAAATTGAAAAAATTGAAAAAATTAGCGATTTTTAAATTTGTAATTTTTTTGGAGGTTTCCCCCATTTACGGGGAACGAGGGAATTTTTTTCAATTTTTGAGGATAATTTCTTCGACTAGATACGATTTGAGATCTTTTGACGTATCATTGAAAGACATCGGTTTGGTAAGAGCTGAGAAAAAGTAGTACCAGGCACAAAAAAAAACACATCATAGTAAAACTAATACCTTCTCAGCTTCGCATCGAAGCTAAAAAGATAATGTTTAAATTATTTTTATTCTGAAAATAATTGAGTGAGTTATGATAAAAAAATGGCCTATATAACAAAATTATCCATTGTAAGCAGTTCAATAATCACCATCTCAATAATTATACAAATAAAGTTTTAATATTTGTACGATTTGAATTTAAATAAATTGTAGTTTGAATAAAACAGTTCCAAAATTATTCGAATACATTATTAATTATATTAAATTAGTGTTATTTACATAAAATTTTATTTCAATAAATCTAGTTTTTTGTCGTCTTAACATATAAATATTATAGAGTTGCTAACAGCGTGGTTCAATACAAATATTTAAATTATTTTTTATTGCATTATATAATTTATAAATATTGCTAATTATTTACGATCATTAAAATTTTCATGAAAGATTATATAAAAATATATTAAATTTAAATATATTATTGGAATTTTTAAATAAATTATTATTAATATTTTTAAATAATTAAACTTTATGTTGTAAAGTTAGGGGACCAATATAACACAATGATAACGCCTATATATAATATTAGGATAAATATATATAACTCAACTAAATGCATTTAATGTACACTAATACTATAAAAATAACTATTAACATAATTATTTCGATTAAGAGGCCAATTACATTAAAATAATATTACATTGAGAGTATATTTTGGTCTGTTCAATAACAAAAGCTTCAAAAGTAAGTATTTTTTGGTAATAGCAGTATATTCATTTATAATAATTATAATTAATTGGAAAATATACACTAATATAATAAAGGTTATGTACGATACACTTATACCAGCCTAAAAAGTATGAAAAGGGTAACAGAAGATTTAAGGTAAGAATAGGAGTGCACCAAGATTCTGCTATAAGCCCTTACATATTTTCTATAGTGGTGGTTGAAATTACTAGAGAAATACTATGCAATATATCTAGATGAATTTAGTTCGCTGAACTTGCAGTTTTAATATGAGAAAATAGAGAGGAAATTAATCATAGGCTAGAGATTTTACACCTCTATGGGAATATGAAGAATAGAGTTCAGATTAAGTAAGAGTATAACACAATATATAGAGGACGAGTTTGACAAAGGAGAACACGATGTAGATGAAATAGAGAGATCAGTGATAATAAGAAAGGACATGTAGGATAGATGGAAAATTTTAATTTAATATATTTTAAGTTATAAGTTATATAGATAAAGTTTTAATACAACGCAAGTTCATTTATAATTTTGCTCATCTAGCAATTCAAAATAAAAGTTCGAATGATGAACAGACATGCCAATTTGAAGAAGGTATGACGAGAAAAGCTGCAGAAAATGGAAACTTAGAATTGTTAAAATATGCACATGAAAACAGATGTCTGTGGGATGAAAGCACAGCAGAAGCGGCTGCATCAAGTGGTAAATTAGAATGCTTAAAATATGCTTTTGAAAAAGGATGTCCGTGGGATGAAAGTACAACGACTGCGGCTGCCAGTAGAGGTCATTTAAATATTTTAAAATATGCACATGAGAATAAATGTCCATGGGATGAAAGAACAACAGAAGCAGCTGCTTCTAGTAATTTAGAATGCTTAAAATATGCTTTTGAAAAAGGATGTCCGTGGGATGAAAGTACAACGACTGCGGCTGCCAAAATAGGTAATTTAAGTATTTTAAAATATGCACATGAGAATGAATGTCCATGGGATGAAAGCACAACAGAAGCAGCTGCTTCTAGTGGTAATATAGAATGCTTACAATATGCTTTTAAAAATGGCTGTAAATGGGATGAACGTACCACAACTGCAGCTGCCAAAAGAGGCGATTTAAAGATTTTAAAATATGCACATGAGAATAAATGTCCATGGAATGAATGCACAACAAAAGCAGCTGCTTCAAGTGGTAATTTAGAATGCTTGAAATATGCTTTTGAAAATGGCTGTAAATGGGATGAACGTACCACAACTGCAGCTGCCAAAAGAGGCGATTTAAAGATTTTAAAATATGCTTTTGAAAATGAATGTCCATGGAATGAAAGCACAACAGAAGCAGCTGCTTCTAGTGTTAATATAGAATGCTTAAAATATGCTTTTGAAAATGGTTGCAAATGGGATAGGCGTACCACAACTGCGGCTGCCAAAAGAGGTGATTTAAAAATGTTAAAATATGCACATGAGAATGAATGTCCGTGGGACGAGTACACAACAGAAGCAGCTGCTTCTAGTGGTAATTTAGAATGCTTAAAATATGCTTTTGAAAAAGGATGTCCGTGGGATGAAAGTACAACGACTGCGGCTGCCATAACAGGTGATTTAAGAATGTTAAAATATGCACATGAAAATGAATGTCCATGGTATTCCTGTACAACAAATGTCGCGGCATATAATGGTAATTTAGAATGCTTAATATATGCTATTGAAAATGGCTGTAATTTTAATGTAAGTGATATTGTGACAAATGCTATATATAGTGGTAAAATAGAAATATTCAAATATGTCCACGTAAATGGATTTGAATTGAATGAAGACATAACTAATGTTGTTGTCTCTTTAGATCATCATGGCATTATAAAATATGTCATTGAAAATGGATATGCATGTGATATAAGTACAACTTATACAGCTGCAATAAATGGTAATCTTCAAAATTTAAAATATTTACATGAAAATAGATGTCCGTGGGATGAAAGCACAACAGAAGCGGCTGCATCAAGTGGTAAATTAGAATGCTTAAAATATGCTTTTGAAAATGGATGTCCCTGGGATGAAGGCACAACAGAAGCAGCTGCTTCTAGTGGTAATATAAAATGCTTAAAATATGCTTTTGAAAAAGGATGTCCCTGGGATGAAAGTACAATGACTGCGGCTGCCAAAAGAGGTCATTTAAGTATTTTAAAATATGCACATGATAATAAATGTCCATGGAATGAAAGCACAACAGAAGGAGCTGCTTCTTGTAATAAATTAGAATGCTTAAAATATGCTTTTGAAAATGGATGTCCGTGGGATGAAAGAACAACTACTACGGCTGTCAGTAGAGGTTATTTAAATATTTTAAAATATGCACATGAGAATAAATGTCCATGGGATGAAAGAACAACAGAAGCAGCTGCTTCTAGTGGTAATTTAGAATGCTTAAAATATGCTTTTGAAAATGGTTGCAAATGGGATGTGCGTACAACGACTGCGGCTGCCAAAATAGGTAATTTAAGTATTTTAAAATATGCACATGAGAATGAATGTCCATGGGATGAAAGCACAACAGAAGCAGCTGCTTCTAGGGGTAAAATAGAATGCTTAAAATATGCTTTTGAAAATGGCTGTAAGTGGGATGAAAGCACAACAGAAATAGCTGCATCATATAATGAATTTGAATGCTTGAAATATGCTTTTGAAAATAGCTGTAAATTTGATGAACGTACAACTACTGCGGCTGCTAAAAGAGGCGATTTAGAAATGTTAAAATATGCACATGAAAATAAATGTCCGTGGAATGAGAGCACAACAGAAGCAGCTGCTTCTAGTGGTAATTTAGAATGCTTGAAATATGCTTATGAAAATGGCTGTAAATGGGATCAAAATATCATGAGAAGTGCAATTGTAAAGGGTAATCTAGTCATAATAAAATATCTTTACGAAAATGGATGTATGTGGTGTGAAGGAACTTTGTTTGATGCAGCTGCAAAAGGTAATTTGGAATATTTGAAATATGCACATCAAAATGGTTGCAAATGGGATAAAGGCATAACAAGAGCTGCTGCAACAAGTGGTTGTTTCAACTGTTTGAAGTACGCCTACGAAAATGGATGTGTTTGGGATGAAGGCACAACTCGAGCTGCTGCAACAAGTGGTTGTTTCGACTGTTTGAAGTATGCCTACGAAAATGGTTGTGTTTGGGATGAAGGCACAACTCGAGCTGCTGCCGCGAGTGGCTGTTTAGACTGCTTGGTATATGCCCATGATAAGGACTGTAATTGGGATAAAGATACAGCAGTTGCAGCAGCTGTGCATGGTAAGTTAGATTGTTTAGAATATGCCCGTAAACATGGTTGTGATTGGGTTGAAGGTATGATGAGAGGGGCTGCAGCAAATGGACATTTAAATTGCCTAAAATTTGCTTATGAAAATGGGTGTCCCTGGGAGGAAGGCACAACAAGGGAAGCCGCTGCGAGTAGTTACATTAAATGTTTAATATTTGCGCATGAAAATGGATATAAATGGGATGAAGGAACTATAAGTGGAGCTGCCGCCAATGGCCATTTAGACTGCTTAAAATATGTTCATGAAAATGGTTGCAAGTGGGACGAAAGCACAACAAGACTTGCTGCTGCAAATGGTCAACTTGATTGCATAAAATATGCACATGAAAATAATTGTCCATGGAGTAGTGGTACCATTTCTGCAGCTACTCGAAAAGGTTATCGTAAAATAATTAAATATGTTACTAAAAACGGCTGTCCTAATTAATATTCTGATAAAATATTGTAATTTTTATTATATTAATCTATGTCAATTATATTATTTAAAATAAATTATTAGGAACCAATATTCAATATATACATTGCACTTGAAAGATACTAAAAAAAAATTCTCAATATTACATTTTTTTTATTATTAAAATTTACTGTGATAAATGAATCACTCTGTATAATGATCTTTATTAATGTATATTAATATAATAAAGCTGTTAAATATAATATATGTAGATATACGCTTCGTATAAGTCAGTAACTCACTTTTTCTAAACTTTGCATTGATCAAAAATAAAATTTATTCTCTGATTACACCTTATATGCTTATCAATATTCTAAATAGTTTGATTCCGACTCGAACCAAATTTTAGATATTTTGATTTAAGTTATTATAAGAAGATTAACACTTAAATCTAAATATCTCACAATCTCTAAGTTGAAATTTTGATATACTATAGTGTTGCGCATGACGATATATACAGAATGACTTTTTTATAAAAATAATTTAAACATTTTCTTTTTTTTTTTTCTGGTTATCTTTAATTATACATTTTTCTTGAATGATTAACTATGTAATACTTTTTAAAATCATCTCTTATACTTTCAAAGAGTATCAACTTTGTTTCTTTAAATAGGAATACATATTTTAAATTTAGTAAAATGTTTGAGCTTTTTAAATAGTACATAGAATTTGAGTTTTTAATATAACTTTATTCATTTATTAGATATAAACATTTAAAGTTTCAAACTTTTTAGTTAATATACATGCATAATACACAAGAGATTACAAATACAGGTAGCTAATTGATTTTTTATGACAACGATATTTGCAGGTACACGGCATTTATTATCAACGGCAATATAGCACATTTTTGTGAGTTTATAAATAGACTAACTGGCAATACAAAAAGTAGTCATAAATAGTCATAAAAGACAATAAACACTCCGTGACTTTAACAGCGACGTCATAAAAACCAATTAGCTACCTGTATAGAGATCGCTTCACTACCATTCTCTGTCTGTAACCCATTTTTTCCTAAAAATCAGTTCTTTCGAGAATTTTAAAAATTTCTCTCATTCTCCGTAAATGGCAGAAAACTCCAAAAAAATTACAAATTTCAAAATTGCTAATTTTCTACATTTTTTTTTTTCCTTAAAACTGCCATAATTTTTTTAAAAATGACAAAATCAATATAATTTTTTTTTATAGGTGCATAATGTCTTTACCTAACATTTGGTATATTTTTCTATATATATTTTATCGACGTGGCAACCGTACATCACTTTAGTCGTAAGATAAAAATGGCAATTTGAACTAATTAAAAATTTCAAATTTATTTTTCTCGACTTAAATAAAGCGAACAAATTTAAATAAGTTTAACTTTATATTCTATGTCAGTTAGATTTATCTAATACTCATGAAATCAGTGTACTCCTTTTGTAAGGTATTTCGAAATAAAATAAAATACAAAAGGAGAAAAAAAACTATGCAAATAAATATTCGCACTTACCTTTATTTCCTTCCATAGTTCTTTGGATTAAACTAACGGTAATTTCTCAGTTCGGTGTTAACAATCGTTTGTAAGATCTTGTGTTCATATCGATTAATTAGCCTTTATGTGTATATTATATTTAAAAAAAAAAATTCTGTACAATACGTCCTGCGTCTATTATGATTATTATTTTTTTTATACTTATCAAACTTTTTTCATATTACACTATGTTTTACTAATAATATTTTCGATAAATTCCCTATAGACGATATATTTAAAATTCACTTTGAACTTGTCAAAATATAATAATTATATTTTTAATTATTATAAGAATATATCTATCTATATTCAAAATATAATCAACAAGACTGAGGTGACCCAACGTTTCTCAGCGTAAAGCCGTGGCTGGCGCGGTCACAGTTGACCTCGTTAATATATATATTAAATATTACTTCAACACACCTTTTACTATGCTTTACGCCAACTGCCTATATGTTACCGAGGGGTAATTGGTATAGTCCTTTATGGCTAGCGGGTACACACGCTGAGGATATTCCAAGATGTAGTTTCCTGCCTTACGAACTATATATTTTATAGTGAACTCTACCTGGACTACTAGTTCAAGAACTGGATTTTCGATGGATTTAGTACGACTCTTTACCTCACGTTACTGGAAGGTAATTTTATGGCTGGCGAGTACACAGGCAAAGGTATTACTACTAAGACCAGTTAATTCTAATCACAAATTACGCTTCTTCAGCCTTTTCGGCACATTTAAGGCTGTCCAGAAATGAAGGTCACATTAATATTTAAAACTTATATAAAATATAAACTATATATATTTCTTATAAGGATATTATTAGGTAATAGTAAAAATAAATAAAACTTATTTATGGATAAAATATTAATAAATCTATTAAGAAAGTGTTCATCATTTAGGATGGTATGGAAAAAAGACAAAGTCGTAGGGACAAAATATTTACTTATACTGACGCAGATTCCGTGTAAGAGATAGAAAAGAGTAGCAGCGGCAGCAGCAGAGCGATGACGAACCCCTTTTTTATGAAAAAAAATGGCTTTTTATATTCTAGATAAAGTAATGCAGCGATTTCTAGTGAAAGTTATTAGATGTTGTATAATTATTTATGATTGATTAATTGTGATAAAAACCTCGATGTAGTCGTAGTTAATGAATTGTAAATGACTGGTTTGAAATATTTGTTAGTATATGATTATTTTAAATACCCTAAAAGAAACATTCCTTAGATGATTTTTGATTTATTCATATGTATGTGATATTTAGTACATTTGTTAATAATTATACTACAAATATTTTAAAAGTATTTACTGTTGAATTAGGTTTGATATGATAAAAGTTTTCAACTACAAAATGAATTAATTCTACTTTGTAGTTTATTAATTTTTAACTCTATTTATGTGTGTTACTACCGATTATTAATATTTCACATATTTTGGTAACATGTTGCTATATAAATAATTTCTAAAAAAATGATTTTTAGTTTCACCTGAATTTAACAATGGATTTTTAAAATTAAAATTATCAAATTTTATAATGGGCTTAATTGAGTTCATATTTTTAATTATTTTTTTTATTTTTTTTTTTTTTAGTTAAAGTAAATTATTAAAATTAATTTAGTTTTAAATATTTCAATTGTAAAATCACCAAAAGTTACTTAGATATTATTACTATGATTTCTATTTAAGTGATCTATTACGATAAAAATGCAAAAAAATATTGAGCTTTACTGATAAATTTACTAAAAATAGTAATTATATAATTTCCTGACTGCATATTAATTTTTACAATACCATTTTTTTAAATCACATAAAATTTTTTATTTAATTATGTCAATTTGAAACTTGCAAGTTGAGCTAAAAGTTACGGTAACAAATTCATTTTTTTTTTTATTATAAACTTTCACAAAGTCAACTTTAAAGGACAAAATAAAGTAGAATAAAAGTTATATTTGGCACTGATTATTTTTACACGTATTAAAAATAGAAATCAGTAATAATTTAAAAACAATTTTTTTTATATATGTAAATACTTTTTTTTTTAATAATTAGTAATAATATCAAAAATTTAAAGTGATAGAAAATGATTTCTAAAAGTATATTTTTCTAAGAACCTAAGAACGACTAAACAGAATATAATTAAGAAAATAGGAGTTGATGTTGCTTCCAATTTTGCACCAATTTCTTAGAATTAAACACTATCTACAGATTTGCATCGAAGCGTTTCATATGACAGTGATTTTAATCACTGTCAGATATCACCTATACTTGTCCCAACTATGCTCGTCCATACTGTGCCGCGAACATTCTATTCTGATGTTTTTTTTTAATTTTCAGTAGAAACTAAGCGTATTAGGGAACAACGCGTTCTTATCTTAGCACTAAAACTATAAATACTTTCATTTTATTAATTTATTAAAATTGTTAATAATTTATTCAGTTTCTGCGTGTTAATAGTCTTGTTGCTTTCTATTTCTTGTTGTATACAGAGTTTAAATTGATTCAATAATTTGGTTGATACTTATTCAAACATGTAAAATGCAAAAATGACTTTTTAAAACGTGTATTAAAAAAACAATCAAACAAAAAAATCTACATTTTAATACAATATCACTAAAGTTAACCATTAAATTTACAATTTAATTACCATTATATAAATAATCTACTCATTAGTTTGTTATAAGTATCATTTTACAGAATCATTTAATGTACTAATTTATCATACAAAAATTGTTGACTATTTTTTTGAGTCGTCTTCAGTGCATTATATTGTGATTTTCGTAAAAAATAATGGCTAGTTGCTATAAAATATATTTTCTATTTCCACGAAGCAACTCAAGTTACACTCATTATTTTTAGTTTTTTACTTAAATTTTACGTCGACTTTTGATCATTAACTTGAACATAAGGTACACGAGTTGAACTCTCAACCGGTTTATTTGTTGTTGTAATTGGCCTAGGAGTTATCTTCGCTACTGGCACCGTAGAATTCATTTCTACAAAATCTAAATCTGAAGAATCTCTTACAACTGCATCTGATGAAGCGGCTTCATCATTATCAGGTGGGTTTGATCCAGAAGAACTTGAAGCTAATCTGGATGATTTCCACAGTAGGGGTTTAAGCGCTTCGATAAACCGAGCCAATCGAGCTGCAGTGTTCTATATAAAAATAAATATATGTTATTTAATGCAATTATCTCCAAAAGTATTAAAATCGATTAGCGCTTAATTTTTACAAACCTGAATAACAGTACCAATTGCCTGTGATATTCCATTGGCAGCAGTAAAACTGGGACCAAACAATCTATCCGGCAGTTGTAAGCTAACTTTGTTTGGGCTGAAACTCACTGGTTCGTCTTCACCGTCACCTTGCGCTTGCACTTGCTGGTCAATGACCCCAGAATCACCATCAGTACCCTAAATAAAAATATAAATAAACAAATAGAGACTAATGTTCTTAACTGAAACTATCCAACGACCGAGTAAATATGTATTCTCTGTATGCCGCAATTAATTAATTTAGATAAGAAAAAGATATATTTAGAATTTGAAATTTATTTTATTGAATAAACTACATCACTTAATTAATTTTTATATGAATTATAATTATAACAATGTACTATGTTTTTAATTTTAATTTTGATTTATATTATTAGGCAAGCACTGATATCACAAAAAAATGTATTATTATATTATGTATATATATACTGAGAGATAGAGATAGATATATATTCATATAATGAATTACAATGTATAAATTATGTATAAAATATAACTTCAAACTATACCCATAAACCTATTTAAATAGTTAAATAAATAATACCTAGTAATAATTAAATTGACACAAATAAAAAAAATACCAAGAGTTTTTGACAAAAACAGTTTACAATATTTTGTTATTTTCCAATTACACAAACAGAAATTTTAGTAGCCCAATAACGTTTGCAATTTATTTTTTATTTTTAACAAAAAAATGATAAAATTTTATATAATAAGTGTTAATATTAGAAAACTGATTGGTATTTTTTCAAGTCATTTCAATTCGAAAAAAATAGATTTAATTCCAATTTTAATGTAAATCTATTTCTTTATAAAATTACTATTAAACCTATACTATGAATTTATCTAGTTAAAAATGGCAATGATTGATCAAACATATTGTGAAATGACACGATTTTGATAGATGATTGATAACAGCCTGTACAGTTAACACCAAGACAACACCACGACTAATAAGACATTTCTTATTGCGTTGGATCATTCGATTCGTCTGCTAACTGAAATCCACAAAGTAGTTTTGTGTTATTTCTTAAATTAATTATGATAATAAGCGTCGGTTAATCATTTCCCGAGTATGTAATCGCAGTCATGTTGGTCCAAATATTGTCAATATATTATATATATTGACTACAATAATATTATTATAGTGATAACATCCCTCGTCGTCACCTCTTCATAGTTTTTCTTGGTCCAGTAGAGACCGTTACCGAAGTGTTTACAACATGCATTTAGTAGTGTCGGTCGATTTCGCGGTCAGTCTTCAAGTCATCTCCGCGGAACATCGTTAGTCTTCGCAGTAGAGTTACCCAAGTACAATTACTTTAAAACCGTATAATTTAGTAAGCTATAAGTCACGTAACGATACAAAATCCAGCCAGTCAATAAAATTATAATATAATTACCGAATATTGTGTAAATTTATTTACGCAACGCGCTATAACGTGTTTGATAGTAGCGCCACACATAACTTCCCTACATGACGCTTGTTAGTAGACTGTCACAATAGTAATAACACAATTGGAAAGTCAATGATATTATCTTAGTACACGCAGTTAATATGTGTATATGGAAGTCAGTGTAAGTAAAACGTTATCGTTTCGAATCAAAGTGTTCAATAGTACAATAACTACCACTTCAAGTTCAAGTGTACCGATAAGTCGTGCATTATAATACAAATATATACAACTTATTGGTATCAAAAGATTTTCTTCTTTATGACGACTTAAACATATGGCATAACGTTTTTACTGATCTCTCCAAGTGACCTCATCTTATATAATTAGTGATTTCCAAGTGTACGATTTTATAATTATTTCATAATATTGTCAGTTGAGTAAATATTTGTTTTGGTAATGTAATGATTTGCGTTCAATTAAATTTATTGAAATAATTAATTTTTTAATCTTTTAAAATTTTAAAAAGCAGTTGATTTTATTAAAATTATGAAAGTAACCGTAGGGTTTACATACCTTGCCAGTACTTGCAGCTGCTTGACCGTTTGCTAAGAATTGAGCGTTTTGTTTCTTATTGTTTTGATCCAGGTTACCAAGAAGTCTTGTCTTAAAGTCAATTACTTGATTGATTTTCTGCAAAGAAAGTAATATTGTATAATTTTTAAAAATATTTAATTTTCCGAATTACGGTTAGATTTTGGTATTACATGGAACAGGAAGTTCAACAAGAGTGCTTTAATGCCCAAACTCGTTGCTGTTTTCACGGCGACCTTAGCCACTCTCAGCCCTACTCCGACTGCAGCCTCTTTCGCTTTGTGGGCTTTAGCGCTAACAATACTTGAACCTGCTTGCAACACTAATTTTGCCGGGTACAGGGCGACCTGCACTATTGGTTTTATTTTCATCAACGTCCTCTTGGTCCGTCTGTGTCCGGATTGGCTATGTAACACACTAGTCTCTAATGATTCACCCGAAGATAATTCTTCGTATTGACTTCGTGTATTATCGAATGTAATACTGTTTGATTCTGCCAGTTTCTTAGGATTTATGGCAACTGCTGTGGTAGGGGAAATTTGGAATAACGTGGCTACGACAACAGTGGCTGCTATCACCAACACGGCCTTTCGAAGAGGCCTCATGACGACGCTGATCGGATTTAATAAAAATACAATCGACAATGAAGTTTACTCAAAGTTTCTACTAAATTCATACGTTCTCCAATAATATATCTTAAAGACCAATGACTAGTTTTTTCTGATTTCTAAAAAATAAATTAAAAATTCATGAATGATAACTTATAGAAGGAAAATTAAAAATCTTATATCCCAATAATATTACTCTCCTAACAACAACTCGTATCTGCATTTCTTTTTCGTAGTATTAAAATAATCAGAACATCATTGTACATATTTATCATTGTAACGTTATTATACAGGTTATCTTGCAAAATCGAGTGATAATGCCAGTTATAAATAAAATGTCAAGTTTCTTTTTTGTCTCTTTCGAAAATTTATACATTTAAATTTACATGTTGTTGTTGTTTGAGTAGTGTTATTTTAAATTAGTTTTATTTCAACAAATTATAAGAAATTGTATAGATGTAATAAATTGTGTAACGTCATGTCCATTTTATATTTTTTTTCACCATTTAGTTTTTTATACATCATTGGTACAATGATAATTATACTGAGTTTAACACCTCGTTTTTTAACCTGTTAAATACTTATCACTAAATGTATTTCATTAATATCTTAAGATTTCACAACCATATCATTAAACTCTAAAGAACAGAGTTTTTTGTAAATAATTTGCTAATACAACATGAATCACGAAAGTAAACAATTTTTTTTATATGTTTACTATTCAGTTACGCTCTCTGGACTGTGTTCCAATAACCTAGTAATATTGTTACAAGTGTTAACTTTTATAAAGTAGTGTAAGCAATATACGGATTAAACAAGCCCCCGAGGCGCGGGCGGTTTTTTACAAAGAATACGCCCACATCGGTACAATAAAATGCAATACAAGTTTGCGTGGAACGCGAAAGTACTTAAAGAATTATTTATGCAAAGTGCAAAAACCAGTTCTGTAAAAATTAATGATTTAATTAAATCAACTATCACAGACTAGAGTAAGTTTTACCGTTATATATAATGTATTACTTGACTTTTTTATTTTTTTAACAGAGTTAAAAAAAAATAATAAAAAATTTTAAATCCAGTTAAATTGATATTTATCAAAATCAAATCGCAATGAAGAAATTGTACTTTATTACATACTTGTTAATCGCATTCTCAGATGCTCTAATTAAACAGTTTAATGAGTTATGCAATGCTCAGAGTGATAATTTCTAATAATTAAGAATTCTGCATTCACTCGAATGCAACAGGTCATTAATTTGTTGAATTTGAATAATTATTTATTCAAATAAAAATACAAGTTATGTAAATAATAACACTTAATATTTAAATGGAAATTATAGCTCAAATTATAATAGAAAATCTATGTGTTCCGGAAATTCAGATGAGAATTGTCCCGCAGATCTTTGAGCTCGTACTTAGTTTCCTACGGGGCCTTGATCAATTTTCGATATTTCAGCCGAAAAAGAAATTATATGAATGATATCATTCAACCGTTTGTCTTAACAGTCATGATTCACATTTAATCTGATAAGTACTACTGGTGACAGTTGTTTTAATTTATGAAGTGTGTTGAACTCAAAAGAGACGGATGTGTTGCATTGTAAGCCAAATTAAATGTCCATTATTGCATATTAATGGCTTGCGAGATATAAACACTGAAATTGTTGTATTATGTTGTTACTTGTTTGCTTGAGGATGACGGTTGCGGTGACCGGGTGAAAGTTGCAACCAGTAAATACAATCTGTATGTTTTATAGTTGTACTAGTGTGAACGGCAAACGCTGTACAGGTATTACACAATATACATACGAGTGTAGACAAACCGGACGACCACGTTTACGTTACGATTATCACCGTTACATAAAATAAAATAATAATAGTAATGATAAAAAATAATAAATATCCTTAAATAATAAAAAATTCGAAATCGTTTTGTTGCATATTGAACATGACTGCCTGCGACTTTCTGCACGTGTTTTTTGTGAAATTGCATTATGAACGTACCACAACTTAATTATAATCATGAAATAAATAAGAGCACATTTGAATCCAAAATCGCGATTTCGTTAATGAGAACGGCACTGTAGTATTGTATGTGTTATCAGATTCATTGACTTTCAGATTTTTCAAATCATCAGAAAAAAACCCGAATCAAAACTACTAGTTTACCATTGATTTCTAGCAAATTCGTAGAGATCAATTCAATTTTATGTGAATTCACTGTCAAAGTCCTCGCTAAAATTTTAGACTTATTAATACTTTGTATATGAAATTTTACGTGCTATTTTGCCAATGTCAAAAAACACGTGATTATTCTTATCACTCCGATGAAATAAAATAAAGTGAATGAATGAAGGGTTTCAAACTTAAATTTCAAACGAATAATCAATAGATTTATTTTTAAAAACTGTGAAATTTTTTACCTGTCCAACGATTATTCAATCAACACCCGTTTCTTCTGTTAGCGTCCTCTTAGACAATTATGCACACCAAAAAATTGCCAATATGAGTAATCCTTGGTTGCAACTTAAAAACTACACTGAACCCTTATTAGTAATTTACTTGCCGGGCCGACACGACCGGCTATGCGTCGGATGTATGTAGATGTAGCGTAAAATTGTCCAGTCGGTATTGGCTTTGTATAGTGAAAGAGATAAATGAAAGTAAAAGTGTTTATATGTGTGGAGAGGCAAATGACGGACGAGTACGACTATTGGGATCCAGAGAATGTGTTTAGTATTTACAAGGTAGCCAACACGTGTGCGGATCCCTACTTCTTACTCCACAATGATAATCTCATAGATTATTGCACACCCTTTAATGAGTAACGGACAGTTTCGATCAGTTTCGTAACACAACAGTAGATTAAGTGTCATTGTGGACCACGTTAAAATTTGATCCAGTCATCGGGAAAACATCAATTAATAATGATAATGTACAATTCCTTTATTACATTTAACCCGTACAGCCAACAATAAAAATAATACTTGTTAATACTGCTGTTGTAATGTTACATAGTCTCCGACGCTTTATTAAGCACTGTTCTTAATACAGTCTTTCTAAGATATTTGTTTTTGATAAAAAATTGTTTCACGAGTTCTCTAGTTGTGAAAAATGTAATTCATGATTTGTATTATTTGAATATTTCAGATCACAATGAAATATTCAACATTATTTTTAAAAGATTGACTTTTCATAAAAATAAATCTTATATAAAAGTACTCTATATAATATAAAAAAAAGTTATTGTACAGATAAATTAGCAACAAATATTTTTTCATAATTTAACAGTTACTATATTTTATAAAAAAAAAAAAGTATATATATATGTTAACAAGCAAGCGCTCAGACTGTACATTTTTCTTTATACAATAATTAATTACGAATTATAATTATATTATATAATTTATGTACATCACAGATTTCTTCTTTTGATGATTTACTTAATTCTAATTAAAATTTTATAACATATGTATAATATAGACATTATGAATATTTTACTTACACTTCATTCAATTTATTATCGTTTTTCATATCATGAAGAATCATAAAACTCGGGGAATTTATATTTTTTCATAAAAAATAAATTCTATGAAAATAATTTAGTGGAATTTTATTTATTGCTTTATATATTTTTTCTGTAGTTTTTTTAATAGACGTATAACAACTATTAAAAAAAAAAAATAGTAAGTTTATATGGAAGTTAAATTTTTGTCACTATTGAATTATACAGATTAATTATCTTTAAAGTATAAAATGTCTACTATAACCATTTTTTCATAAGTATTGATAATTTAAGTATATGATTAATTTAATTTCAAACTAGACGAAAATATGATTAGTGATCATAATACAAAAAATTAAACAATTAATCTTGATTATCATTTTGTTTAAAATAACATTTTTGTATTCCAAAATTAGAGATATTTAATATTTTTAATAGTTATTACTAAAATTAATTATCTTATCTTGCCAATTCTTGATGCAAATAAATACCTATGCAAAATCAAACACAATTGACATTAATGATCTTAACCCCATACATGCAATTAAAAAGTCATGTAATGCCATTCCTCTATATTAAGCATGTTAACTTATTCATTATTTTAACCCAAACAAGATTATTTTCAACTAATCAATGACACCTTAATGTGTTACACTCATACAGTAAAGGTATAAATTAAGAAAGTTAGCTGCTGACCTAGTCACCAAGTAAAATATGATTTCTACTTAAAAATGAACACGATCATTTCGGTATTATTGAATATCTTACATAATAAATTTAAGAAGATGCTAAATAATCTTAAAATTTAGGTATTGTATAAACCACTGAAATGTTTGAGCGTACATGGAACTCGCATATGTTTGGTTTTTGAGTTCATGTTATGAAATAAAATGTAGATAATGTTTTTTTGGAACAAAATAAAATCACGTGTTATTCTCAACTCTAATATAACCTTTTTGAATTTTTTTCTTATACCGGAATTTTTTTAAGTACTATTAAATATTTTAAAACCAACTTTTATAATGACATTATTTTTAATTCTGCAATAGAATGGAATAAGTTTGAAATATTAACAAATCAAATACTACACACTCATTCAATAGTAACAAAAGACATTAATAATGTGTTCATTAAAATACATTCTAATCCCCATGATAAATATAAATGCGAATTTATACACAAATTGATGATGCTATTTTAAAATACTTGTTTGTCAAGGGAAAGAAATATTGAGTGAACCGTAAACCAAATCGATTACTTATACTTGTTCTTGCAAATGGCTAATTTTTAGTGAATTGTCACGATTAATTCATTTTGCACTTTAAATGATAACAACAATTTAACCTTTTTTTTTTTATAAAAAGACGAACTTACTTTGGAGTGAAAAGTCACATGCTGTCAATTGTTTAATTTAAAAATAAATGGCTTGTAAGCATTATGCACGGCAGAGACAAAAACACAGATGTTGTTCTTTATTCTATATGACTGTGTATTCAAAGCTAAATACGGGTGTATTATTCTTTTTCATCATTTAAATAAATTAACATTTTTTTAAAGTTCATCTATTTAATGGAGAGAGTGGTTGATTTTTGTATGCTTAGGACTTTCTTCCGTTTTGGTCATGACTTCGACTATTAGTATAGTTGGAAAATAGTATATTTTTATTGTAGTTGTTTATGATATGATTAATGCAACTCTTAAAATGAGAAATGCACATAGTGCACGAATTTCATCATCTGGAAAGTTTGCACAGTGTCCATATGCTCAATATATTTCATTGCGAAATTTCGACTAAATTACATAAACAGAATTCTTACCTTGTAAAATTACTTAGTAATTCTCTATCGTTTTTATACGATAGAAAATTATTCGTAACATATATATAAAATATAGTATCGAGTTGCCCAAAAACAATATCGTTCACCTGGGCCACCTTGACTGTTATTATCTGATACAGTATTTTATTGAAAATACAATTCTGGTTACATTAGTTATTAAATGTGAGAGCCGTTTTTTTGCGGTAAATCATTATAAAATCAAAGATCAAACAGAGTGTGATAATTATTTTTTACTAATATTAAAAATTGCTAAGGATAGTTATTATTTTTGCAAACGTAACCTTATATTTAATATTTCAGTATTAAAAATAATATTAATATGTTTTACTTTCTTTTAAATGTATATAAACGATACACTTACATGGTTTATTTAGTTGCTCAGTAATTTTAAATCAAAATAAGTAAATCGAAGTTAATTATTGACCTACAAAGGGACATTCTATATAAATTAATATTGTATAACAAGTCATTAGAACGACATAAATAAAACTAGAAAAATATTCAAGAGTGATTTTAATTGTGTAAAAAAATTACGACAATTTATCGCATCTATTGCTTTTTGTTAAAAACATGTCCTTATTAAATATTTTTACGAGTATCTGTACTTATATTTGAAGATTTAACTATCATAGTGATAACTCATATTTTAAGTATACTTTATAACTGTAATTAACAAATTGTTGTCGTTGTTTTGCAATAACTTACACTAAATCATTTATTACTTATAGACAAGGCACTGTTAAAATGTCAATGCTTTATTTAACTAATGTAGTGATAGAAATCAAGGCACGTCATTAAAAAAAAACATGCATCGCATGCACTTATTTTTGTTTGTGATAAAGAAAACCTGTTATTATTAATTTTAAGAAAATACGTTGAACATTTAATATATATATTATTTTATAAAGAGTAGTGTATTTTAATAACAAATATTTAAGCTTTATAACAGCATCATAAGTGTCTACTTCTGCAGTGTCTAAAATAACTTATGTATTGAGTAAGCGAGTATGAAAAACTGTGACGCACAACATAAAAAAATAATGAATTAATTTTTTCAAATGAAAAAGTTAAGCAATATGTTAAACGCTCTTCATTTTAAATAACATTTGGGAATGTTGATGTCGTGTATCAATTTGATTAATCCGGTTGGCAACCATTAAAGAATTATAATAAATTACCGAAATTCTCAATTTATGCACTATGAGAAGTTAATGTATGATGTCAAATATTGAATGTAAATCTTATTGTTTAATGACAAAATCACTTGTATTTTATATCACAATTTCTACAAGGCTAGACATTCACCCGTTCAAAGTTAAAACGCTAAATTAATGAAAGTAAGTTAGAAAAGTCGTTAATTTTTTGGTAGACATAAATTTTAATTTAGCTAGTAACTCTTTCAACCTTAATAACGTATTAAATTTAAGTATTGAAATGAGGTAGACAAGTTAACACCCTTGAGCTTTAACAAATTTTCGTAAAGTGATATTCACCAAAAAACTATAAATATGTTAGAAATATTCCTTGATATGTGGGACTAATTGATAAAAACATCAATAAATAATATTTATTATTTTAATAATAACTAGTTTATTAAAAATTAAATAGTTAACTAAAATTTACCATCTTGACCTACGTCAATATATTGAGTGAGGACTTTCATTATTTTAATTATGCATGGAGGGGCGGTGTGGCTGAGTCGGTAACGAGGCAATGCTTAATTCGCACAGCTTCGGGTTCGAAACTCGGTCACGGGCGGCTCCATTTGACAAATCATTTCGGTAATTGAAGTTTCCATCCCTCTCTCCGGCGACGGACTCACTACCCGTCCCAGAGTATCAATGGTTCAGAAAACTTTCCATATGAGGAGGTCGCTATGGCTCTTAATGGGACTATAAAAGCAAAAAAAAATTATGTTTGAATTAGTATTAAAATGTATAAAAATTGAAGAATGTTTATTGAATAAAATAATTAAAGGGTTGAATGGATAAAGGTCATATCAGATCAAAACTATATTAGAATAACATTTTTAATTAAAATAGTTCAGACAAAAATGTTAAAAATCCTTTATTTTTGTTCTTAACAAAACTTATTTAGATATATATATATTATTTTATTACTAATGTTATTCAGTAAATACAATTATTTTTTAAAGATATAGTTTGAGACCTTTATTCAATTGTCAACCCATATTTTATTTCATAAATAATATAAATATTTAAAGCTATTTTCAATTTGAATACCAAATGAATTTGTTGAACAAAACAAAATCATATACATTTTGATTAGTCAAATACCTTATTATTAATTTTCTCATATTTATTACATTTATAGAATATCTAAATGTTGAAAAAAATTTTTATATGAAATGCATCTGACAATAAT